TTTACATTTCTCTTCCAACTGCTATTATTTCTAAATTCGCTCTAAATGACTTTCTTTCTTTTTCAGCAGTTCCATTTTATTCAAATGACAGTGTCCCCAACTAAATCCATTTTGCTTACTAATATTTCATCCTCACCCCTCTGTCTCCCACTGCCTCTCCCAGAAGTTGGACCGGTAAATTGTATCTTAAAGAATCTTTGTTGTTAATATTTGACAATAATGCTGCCATTTTTAGGTGTGAATACTCAAGTGAGGAAATAATCTTCCATTTCTGTACTCCAGTTGGTTGTCATTTTTATTTTGGACTGAAATTCAAATGAGGGAAGGAAAAAAATCTCACCCTCCAAAATAAAAAAAGACACAAGTGTTTCTGAGTTCATACAATTCACACGGACTGGAGTCAAATGCAAACCTCTTCAGCAAATATTATGCACTACAATTCTCCACAAAAATGTATTGCCTGTATCTTCTCTAGGGTTTTTCTTTCCAAGATAAGATGTGTTTTTCCAGCAGAGCTATCTATGACTTGCTGGTGAGCACTTTATCCCCAACACAGATTTCAAAGAAATATGGTCATTTTTCCCTGAGATTGCAGACACATTAAAATGTGGGTTTTGCAGTTTAAGAAACCTTTCTGTTGAGCCCTCAAGGCCATATTGGTATAAAGTCAGCTTTGGCTTGCTCTTGATGAACTGCAGACTAACAGCCATGTCAGTAATCCTCCCAGATAATAGGGACGCACTGGCTTCAATGCACTTTCTCTCGTTTATTGTTTTTCCAACAGGAAATGGATGGTTAAGCAGAATGTTTAGTTTCCCTTTTACAAGGCCCACACTGGGATGACTAGTCTAATTGTGGGACAAAAAAACACCAACACCAACTCTTCTCTTACAACACACTGCTTTTGTTTACTCTGTTAACAAAGCTCCTAAACAAACTGCCTCCAAAAGCATTCAAATTAGTCTTGTTCTGCCTCCCCCGCCCTGTTCCTTTAATGATACAAACAGCATTTAGGCACGTTAGCTCTGAAGAACTTCCACTTTTTCTAACCCAGGTGTCAAGTGTCAATGACGATCGCTGAAGGGACCGTGCTGAACGGTCACAGTGCCGCTGCCTGGTTTAGCAATTCCTGATGCGAGCTGTGTGTGAATATCACAAATATGACATAAAAGCAGTAGACAACAAGCTTATGTGTGTGTGAAAAAGAGAAAGACGCACCCACGTGCCACCGGTGCGCTCATCACTCGGAAAAGTCCCTCTTCTGTGACTCTGGAAATGGAGTATAATTTAACTTGGGGGCCATTTCATTGTTCCCTTTAAGCTTCTTAGCTCTAAAATATTCATATTTCAGGCGAGGGAGGAAGAAATCTGTGACGGCAGCAGACAGAGGCGAGAGGGAGAAGAAAGAGGATAGCGAGCAAGAGAGGTAGAGAGAGAGAAACTGACAGAGTGAGAAAAAAGAGCGACAAAATAAATGAAAGAGAAACTCAGAGGAGGGGAGTGAGAAGAGGGATGCAGAAACAGAGGCAGCACTGTAACTGATGTTCTCTTATAAACAACTTTCTCTCTGTCTTTCTTTTATTTTCACTCTGAAACACTTCATGGCAGACCTGTCCAACAGGAGACAAAGCCATTTCCCTGTCATCTTCCCCAGCACTGGCTGCAGTGGAGGAAAAAGGCAAGAGCAGACAGACGGTGTAGGAAATGACACAATCATAATTATAATCTGGATGTCACTGAGAACAATTATTTACAGATATCTTGTCAGACTTGTGCTGCTTGCTGCCACTCGCCGAAAGCACGGTTTTTGTTGAATAGGTTGATTTAGGGACAATGTAATAAAATGTTCAAAGACTATACATAGCTTATTTAAAGCAGCTGTATGACATGCACCTTGCCAAAAATGATCTGATCAAAGATAAGTTAAGATATAGGGATGTATTCACCCTGGACAACATTTCTGTGTCCAAGATATAGATATAGTAGAATAAATACACACACTGTGTACATGTACTATATACATAAGTAGTAAAGAGTAAAAAAAAAAGATGTATGCATGTATATTATTGTATAACTACGAAAAAATGCACAAAAAGGTGCATCTATGCTACAAACGTTAAAAGCGGAAATAAAAGGCTGAATGAAAAACACTGCATATGAAGGGGTGCAACAAACAGTTGATTTTGAGATATATGTTAATATGGTGCATGATAATAATCCCATTATAGTTTTGTAGCCTGGTTTCATACACACACCTCTGATTTTTTATAAACTCAAATTAGTGGTCGACTGATATGGGATGCCAATATTTAGAGAGCAAATCAAAACAAAGAAAAATCATATATAATTCTATTCTATTTCATTCTATAGGGAATTCAAGCTTATGTTTACAGTAGGATACATTAAAGTTATAGTATAGGGCTTGTAACCAGCTTTTTCACCACCTCCCCAAAACTCACAAATGAGAGTGCTAACATCTTCCCACAGCAGCCACAATGAAAGGATGGTTGCAAGTGTGTCTGAAGACGTTTTTTGTTTACCGGCCTGGTTATGTTCCTTATCTCAAAAAGCCAGATAATCGGCCTTATCACAAACTCAAATACTGTAGGTCTGGTGTTTTGCTTACTGTCGGCTGTTTCCTTGGTTTTCTTTAGTTTTAGTTTTTCCATGATTCGACCAGATAAGTCATTTGATTTGAGAACCAATTCTCATTTACAATGATGACTGGCCAGGTGACAGCAACAAGAGGATGAAGGAACAACTGAGCCAATCAGAGCTTTGTAGTCAAAATTAATTAACTTACTTACTAAAACTGTGTTTATATCTATTTTCAACACAATAATTTGTCAACAAGATAGATGTTGTTGTCTTTTTTCTTTTTTTTTTCTTTCTTGCAGCACCTCACCATAACTGTATAGTGCACACACAGGAATTTGATGTATGTTGTTTGTTTTTCATCATTTTCACTGGTAATAAGCAATTATCCCGCTTGTCACAGTGAGCTGAGTCCCAGATTGAAACGTGTGATGTACGCTCCTCTGTGAGGGCACATCTTAGTCTTGGCACCCAGACGGCAAACGTTAATTGAATGGAGTCTTAGCCTATGTGATCCAGCTGGAAGACAGTTATGTAACACTCCCAAAGCCAAATGAGAGCTGACACGCTTCAAAACAAGCTATACATAGAGCATTGCATTAGTGAGTCACCCACCCTCTTATAGGTGAATAAAAAGTAAACTTGAACGAAACATGCCACAGTGGACCTATAGACAAGGCCTTGTGGGTATTCATTATAAAAACTTCTTATCATATCAACTCTTTTTTTAGAATTTTTACCTGTCTTGCCTCTGTTCTCAAATTGCCAGAATTGTACTAACGGGTACCAGCGTAGCTCTTTCTTGCCATATAATACGGCGCTTGTGACGAGAGGAGATATTTTTAAGAGGAAACCGAGAAGGGAAGGAATCACTTGAGGTAATAACAAGAAGCCCAATCTTCCATACCTATCACCAAAAGAAAAATATGGTACACTGCTGAGCATATATCGGCCGCTTGTAAGTGAGAGAATGAACGATGATAACAAGAGGAGGGTAGATAGTAAACAGGCAGACAGAGAGAGGGATGGAGTCAAGTCAGTGCAGAGATGTAATATGAGAGCAGCAACGAGCTGTGGTGTATGTGGGCTGTACAGTAGCCAGGAAGGCTGGCCGGCTGCTCCCGCTCCTGCTGTTGCTGATTTAAAAGAAAAACCCAAAGCTGAATTGATATGCTAATTTGATTGAGAAGGTGTGGGTGGATATGGAGAAGGTTTTAAGCAGCGAGAGGGACAGAAAGAGAGAATGACGAGAAAAAGAGAGGGAGAGAAAGGGAGAGTGGGAGTGAGAGATGTGATGGAGCGAGGGAAAAGAAATGAAATGAAACAAATGGGAGGGAGTGGGACGGGAGGAGAGCTCAGCGTGGCTCTGTACTTTGGGGTTGAAGAGTTTACAGTCAATCACTGAGTAGTCATCAGTCAGCTGTGCATTATTAGAGGCAGCAGCTATTGGGTGGCAGTACAGTCTCCACCAGCACCTGGTGACACATTGACTTGTTTTTTAAACATTTGGTAATTAGCACATACAGTTTTTGAAATGGAAAATAGCCACAGTGTCCATTAAAATATGGCATACAATTATTTTATTAAACTATAATTCCAGTTTATTACAACTTGGCTTTCATTAACAATCCATTTCAATAAATACATAAACAGGAAACACTGATGGTTGCAGTCAGTCGTCTTTTTAAAGATGTGTTGTGTTCCCAGATATCATAAAATTAATAGTTTTTGGTAGAGAAATATAAAGAAAACCTTTTTTTTTTTCACTTAAAGCAGCATTAATTGGACCACTGCAGCAGACCAAGATGTAAACACAAAATTAACATATCACATTATATGTTTTCTATGACAAACATGTTGGCCTCCTGATGAATTCACTACAATACACAACCAAGACACTGAGCTGAAAGATGCTAATACTTTGCAGAGTTCGAAGAGTGAACACATTACACACAGTCATTTTACCCATTGCTGATATAAAATTATAGATTAGTGCCACTCTAACAAAAGAGCTTCTCAAAGGTTAAATGTTGTTTAAACACAAGCAGCTGTATAGGACCCCTGTACAGCATTACAGGGGTTGGGCAGTGTTACATCTCTTTTTTATGTCCCTTAAGTGTTGTGTGACCTTGTTATGTGCATTATTATAATGATTTTAATTATGATAGTACACACAACAAGGTCACGTTTGGACCTTTGTGTTTCACAATTTGTTTATTTTGTAAGAGGTATTGAGCGGCTGCCATTTTTTAATTTGTAGTGTCCTTGAGTCCTGGTAATTGCCTCATAAGTGATCCATAGGGGAGAAGCCGTCATCCATGTTGTTTGTAGCATAATGTTTATCTTGAGATTTCAGTTTTATGTACTACAATCCTAATTCCCATGCTCTTCTCGCTGATTCTCAGAAGCAGCCGGGACCAGAGGGTACACTGCGGACGGTTGTCATCCAGGAAAGAAGGCTCCATGTCGGGGTCCACAATGGCTGGTGTTTCCTCGACAAGCCCCAAGTGGTGGTTCTGGAGCCCATAGCCTCAGGGGCCAGAGGCCGAGCAGACAGCGCCTCCAAACAGAGCACCCTGGTCAAAGAGAGGTGAGGAGGAAACAAACGTATATATCCACAGTGGAGCTGTTACTGTAGGTTACAGGAGATGCTGGAGCATAATTCTGTTGTCAGACAAAATCCACAGATGTGCAAAATATTTTCAGGAGTGCTTATTTTTACTGTATTTCATCAGCCTCTTTCAGCACTCCTGTTGCTGAGGCAAATGATTGGAAGTTTATCCTGTAAAGTCAGCAAAAGACTGTATTTATGAAAAAATCGAAGTTCATCATATTATTTGGGAGATGTCTGGAAAAAGTTAAACATGCAGACTTGTATCTTATTCTTCCCTGGTGTCCATTCGCTTCATACTTTCCTACTTTGCAAAATCTACAGTATATATTTGGTGTGTTTCACATTCTGCCTTCCTTATCACATGCAGTGGATTCAATAACAATAATAATTCACTGGTGTTATTTTATTCTCTTTTGCCATATGAGAGGATTGCAAACACACTCTTGTTGTTTAATTGTTGGATATAGTTGTCCTTTGATATGGACTAAAGGACCCTGTTTATAAATGCCACACACAGCCCTCCTGTTTTCAGGAGCTTCCATTATACACACAAACCTAAGTGCAGGTGACAAATGAAAGGAAAAACCTGAGTAAGTGAGTGAAGACACATAAAGACTACAGCTGCTGGCATACAGGACACCTGAGGTCACTAAAAGGTTTGATGAGTATGAAAATGATATGAGTCATATGCAATGGCCCATTGACAGTATATATAATGGACAGAGCTTCTGGGTCGGAATGGATTTGTGGAAGTGTGGAAGTATCTTAAAACCTGCATTCTATGTAAAGGCCAGCAGGAGGAGCGCCATTGGCTGCAATAAATTACCGATACCAAGCACTCTAATGGAGAATGAGCCGACTTCTCACTTCATTTATGAGCTCAGTAAACAGTTTGCTAATGAGTTTATGGTCTCAATCGCTAGTTTTAAGTCTTCTTCCATTCATTATGATGTTCATTTAGTAATGAACATGGTCCTGTTTAGAGTGAAATAAAGTAAAAGAGTTGAAACTGCTCAGCCAATAAGAGCAGCTCAACTCGCAGCACATCACCTCCATTGACTCCGTCTTACTGTTATGGCGACGGCCAAAACGCCAGGCTTCAAAACGGTTCTTCACAAACCAATGGGTGACGTCACAATTGGTTCACACTTGCTATAGCCTAACCATTAGCCACATCTCAACCTGGTTGGGGCTATTCAGAGTAGTTTGTTAAACAGTGTTTTCCACCACAATATCAAATGAGGGATTTTTTTAAGGGTTTTATAAGTGACCACTAATTTACAGAGTGCCTTTACAGTAAGTTGGATAACAGAAACAACCTTATATCTGAGTAACACATACTACTAAAAGCTACTAAGCCACAAAGTACTCTGATTGACTCCTGATTTGTATTTTTACTTGTATTGCTAACTGGCACAGCCCACCACTATATCACTACATTAAACTTTTGAGCACTTTTGTGAGCCTCAGCATTCCCAGTTCAAGCCAACTCTCGAACCCTTTGACACAGGTGATTGCCCTCTCTTGCCTACGTTTGCGGTCACTCTTTACTGTCATCTGGAGATACACATATCGGATGTTTTCTCCCCAATCAAATCAAAACCAAATTTATTATATCAGGATAAACCCATTGAGATGTAATGTCTTGTTTTCAAGAGGGTCCAAATGCTGATTCCACACACATCAATCCTTAATTATAGTGTGAATCAGTCATGTCTGCCTGATATCCAATCTGCTTAATGAGGTCAGTGTTCCTACAGTCATCTGTCATAAACGGCCAAAAAGCTACATGATAATAATGTTAACAGTTTATTGGTTGCTGCAGGGTTCAAGGCAACTGACATTTGGTAATATACAGAATATTAATAATATTAATGATGCAGGTTAACACAATTCCATTTTGAATATAACCTAATCTTATTATATTATTATGTAATATATTATGTTTATATTTGTATGTGACTGTGGAAGTACTCCATTGACCTTGCTCAAAGAACAAATACTGTATGCTTGATAGGGCCTTACATGTCCTGACCCAACCCCAGCCTCATAATTTAAACACTATTCCATGCCATACAAGCTTCCACCCCCATAAAACAGCCTTGCAATCCGTTCCAACGCGTGTTAGCACTTTATAACCAATCAAGGAGATATGGCTCCTGCTGCCTTTGCCCCTGGGTTTTATTGCGACACCATGACACTCAGTGCTAACCTTGTCAAAGTGGATCTGCTGGTGTAAGGTCACCAGCATCTGCCTTAAATCAGCAGTAAAACACTTGGATTGAATGGTTTTAGCATGTGAGATGTAGAACAAAGCTTAAGAGGTGCAGTACAACAGCCGGGCATATAATTTTTAATCCAGGGATGAAAAAAAGTTCAATGTTTGTGCTTAGACCAACTTATACTTAACTATCCACAAATTCCATTCTTCAGATTCAGAATCAGAGCTGGTCACTGCACTTTGTTAATGGATCAGTAGCGGCTGTAAACAAAAAAAACAAAAAACAGATCCTTTCAGATACTTTGTGTTTTGTAACTCATTGTGCGTTGGGAGCACCAGCTGTCACAAATACCCCATCGTACCCCGATAAATCCCTGGAAGTATTTTCTCGCATAAATGTTTTGAGCAACTGAACCTTTGACCAGCAAGTAAACAACAGCATCAGTGAACCACTGAGCAGAACTGCTTTGGGAAAAAAAAAAAAAAGAAAGCTTTGTGTCTATTTCAGTGACATTGTGCAGGTGTGTCATGCCTATAACTTGAGCCATTTGTTCCTGCAAGTTATGAAGAAAGGATATGCAAATCCTGCCACAACAGCACCTTTCCCCCCCACAGATAATATGCAAAATACTACCAAACCACTACACAGAATCTCACAAGAAACCATTAAAGAGTAGCTGTCATGCAAGATGTGTTTTTTCTCATTCAGTATCAGACTCATAGTAATGTTTGATATTAAGGGATATTTAGGGCTGTGAGAAAAATAATGAAATTGAAATTTCCCATATTCATAGTAAAGTCATATTTTTTTGTCTTTTCTGTGCACTAAATATGTCCACTGTAAGGGGTGTGAAGAAATATGTTTTTGGTGCCAGTACTGTCTGCAAAATACATGACTGATTGAAAGCGTAATTGTGTGCACACACACGCTCTAAGTTTGCAGAAATAATAATTCATAGGACTTTTGACTATAATAGAGTTTAATAGTTGAATTGTCTAATAAATTGAGTCAAGAATGGCAAAAACATGATGTAAATCCACAGATTTACAGCATACAGAAGTGTGTATCTGAATCAAAATGTATTGTGTTTGCTACTTCAAATGAGACACTAGCTGATGTGATGATTATGTGGATGATTATATGTGTGTCTTACAAGCATTGGGAACGTGTGCATAATCTCAAATGCATAATCAACACAATCACACGCTAACCAACAATCTGTGCTCAATTGCTATATTATATGTATAACAACAACTGTCATCATCCACATGATGTCAAACATTATATATTCTGCACTTTGCTTTTTTTTCTCTGAAGGAGAAAGTGCTTGCGTAAAAGTGCTTTAGTATGATAACACCAGTGTAGGGAACAATTAGCTTGTTTGCTGTTTTTTTGGGCACTGCCAGTGAAAGCTGACAGTCTGTCTTGCTTGTGTTATGCCTGGTGCTTCCAGACAGCAGAGAAAGAGAGGGAAAAAAAAGAATCTGAAGTGCTCGCCTGTTCCATTCTCCAGAGAGTCCGTGAAGCGGGAAAAAAAAAAAGGCGCTCGGCCCCACCTTGTGACACGCCAGCGCTCCACAGTATGCTCCCGCCTATGGTGTATGCAAACTGTGAATGACGAATACCAAGAGTGCTGTTCCACTGCTCACACAGGAGGCCAGTGCTTGCCAGGGAACATTTAGTGAGCGAGTGTAAATCCTCCAGCACATTGATTTCTTTTCCTTTTAATAAAAAATAAAATCGTATTAAAAGAAATAAGCAGCATTTTAGCGAGGCATTGTCGTTTTCTTCAGTAATGGCTTTAAAGCACATAAGTCACAAGTAATGTCACATCATATCTGTCTTTGCCTCTCTCTCTCTCTCTCTCTCTTTCAACACACGCTTCACACCTTCGCTACATGTGTTTGTGTGTCTTTTTGCTCCTCAGCTCGCTAACATCATCCCTCCCTCAAACGCTGGGCCTTCGCAGCAGCTTGGAGCTCAGGCTGTCCAATCATCCAGCTTTGGCAATCGTCTTCCAGCTGGAGTTTGTCTTCTCTGCTCCAATTGGCCGAGAAACGATGGTAGGAGGGATGCACGAACATACCTACAGTACACACTAATTCCTCAACCTCACCTAATGTTAAACCTCAGCCCAGGACCTAGCCTGAAATCAACCTTTTGATGAAATGAGGACAAACAAGAATGACCTCTTCACTAACTCTGAAGTTCTAAAGACACCTGCACACATACACACAGACACATATACCCTACTGCCCTCGCTTCATCCTGGTTTTGTTCTCTCACCACCTCTCTCTTGTCCTTGGAGTATCACTCCATACATCTCTTGCCTGTGTCTCCTAGAGGAAATTACTGAAGGCATCCTTGGCCATAAGTCCTCTGTAAATAGACAAGACTGAAAGAGGTGTGGATAGAAGGATGGAAGTGAGGAAAACAAATCCAGTCATGATGATTTGACCTAAGCTGCCTTCTTGATTCTTATCTTCACTATTCATTCATATAATTGGTCATGCAGAGGTTCACCTGTGCCTAAATTTTGGGTCTTTCATTGAGACAACTTATCAGACTCCCTCTTTAAAATTTAGCAAAAAGCTATGTCTTCAATACCTTTATTTTGATTTAAAATACTACTCCTGTGGACTTTTATTGTTATTTTTACATTACTGCACCTCTCTGTGTAAGTTTCAGGCTCCACTCAAACTCAAGTTTCAGTACCAACGCAGAAAATCGACTCTTTCAAAACACATGCTTGTCTGAAAAACCTTGCAAAGCTTTTCAAATGTGTCAGTTTTTAATGTTTTTTCATTTAAGTCTAAATAAAATCTATAGTTACAAGTTATGATTTGAATTAGGAAATATCTGATCAAAGAATAAGTAAACAATAATCTAAGGAGACATTCGGTACCAATAGACCTTTTTCACAGCAGCTAATTTGAGATGAAATAGTAGCATACACACAAGTGTTACCAGTTGTTAAGGTTCAGTTCCATTCAGGTCAAACAGAGTCAAGGTGCTGCTATTGTGCATGTTGGCTCACTAGGAAATCTCTACTTGGGCAGTATCATTAGTAACACCTGTGATTACCCTACTATTTCATGTCAAAATGACTGCTGTGGAAAAGGCCTATTCTCAGTTCTTAACAGTTTTAGGACTCTGTTTTGCAGATAAATCTTTATCAGTACTCAAAAGACACTGAGGTTCAATACTAAGACCTGGAGGATTTTTTTTAGGTCTCTTTGTTTCTGACATGTCAACTTTCAGTTGGAGTCCATCTGCATAAACTGACTAGCATTTAGACATAATACCTCTTTACTTTGCAGCTGCCTGCAGTAGTCGACAGAAATCAGTAATTACTGTCTTTGTCTTCCTGTCACTGAAAGTCGACCGACCCATTATGTTGATTTGTCGGTGTAATGGACAGATATTTGGCTTGAACAAAAATGGAATAATGGTCAGTCATTGTTGTTCAGTGCTGATTTGATCATTGTTGGTAAGATGAAGATTGAGTTTTAGGTTATATAATTTTTTGTAGAGCAGGTTTTATTTTTTTGGAGGAACACAACTTAAATTCTCTATGTGATGATATAAATGGTATTTCAGGGCCATGTCAAAAGCTTTGGCAGCCATACTGCTGTCACTGTTGACATGTCACATTTCAACACAAACAGATCTGCAGCCTTCGTCCATAAAACGTTGTCATTTTGTTGAAACCTAATCTGAAGTGCTGTCATGTCTCCCATCTGTCCATATGAATTACATAAACCAGTAGCTGGCACCTGTTACAGCCCGGCACAGTCAACACATCCCCAGGGAAGTCATTTCGAAATTCAAGCCGCACCACTTAACAACCGCCCATGGCATGGAAAACCTCAGAAAGACTGTGGTAATTATGTGTGTGGGTGAGCCTTCAACACTTAATGCATGCCAAGGCTGGGCTCTCATTGTGTTACTGTGTGTTGTACTTTATACAAGCAGGGGTCACCAGATCACCAATTAAAAGCCGCAGAAAAACAACCAGCCTCTTGGTCATCGGAGCGCTATGGTACATTTGCATTTATGTATTAATTCACCCATTCTTACCTCCGCAACCACTTGACAACCAATCAGTCTGTTGTAAATGGACATTCCCCCATGGATGAGAGTAATTATTGTTGACATATAATGGATATTTTTAAGGGGAAAAACAACAGTTTCTACAGAAGAGCTTGTTCCAGAGTATGAAATGTATGACAGCTCAAGTGAGGAGTAGCTCAGAATCTTCAACCTGTTTGCGCTATGCAGTGTGTCCATGTAACCCTGCTTCACTGTTCAATCCTTTTATGGAGGAAAAAATCCTGATGTTACCATACTATGATCTGAATAATCACCAAAGACTAATTTTCACAACTAAGGAGCTATATGCCTGTTATCTGAAAGTGGCAGTAAACACTGCATATGGGGAGGCATACAAATGTAGAGAATTTTTCAAATGTTTTTGCCAACAATCTCCTACACACCTAGTCAACAGAAGTCCTTGTTTGGGGTGTGCTGGTTTATTTTGCTCAAATGCTTAAAATGTCTATGTTATTATGATAGTTATTATGATTGATGTTACTTTGATGAAGAAAAAAGGAATCAGAAAAAAATAAATAAGACTAAGAGTCTACAGTCATGTTAGCGACTCTGTGAGCAGCTGAGATATCGTTTATTTTGCATCTGTTTGGTTACAAACAATGTATGTTTTGACCTGATGACAGTGCTAGATGAAAAGTCAGATCACTAAAGTAATTCCAATTTATCCTGAGGAGGACCCGGAAGTAGAGCTGTAAAGATCAGTCCATTAGTTGTCAATTATTTAAGGTCCAGTGTGTCACATCTAGGAGGACCTATTGGCATAAATGGAATGTAATAATAATTGTTGTGTTTTTGTTACCTTAGAATTAGCCATATTTATCTGCAAAGGGTCCTCTTCTACAGAGTCTGCCATGTTGAACCACCATGTTTCTACAGTAGCCCAGAATTGGGACACAACACTGGCTCTAGATAGGTCCTTTTGCATTTATTATTTGCCTCTGTAGTTTCTCCTATACAAGACAGCAGTATTTAGTTGGTTGTAACCTGCAATCTCCCCACTAGATGCCACTAAATCCTACACCTTGGTCCTTTTAAATGTATTTAATTTTTTAAACTTAGTGCAGTTTAATTACAGTTATATTCTTGTAAATGCACCAGAGGCATTGATAATCCAAGAATTGTTGATTTCTCTTAGAAAGAAATGTCTGAATTATCAAATGCAAATATTTTCTGGTTTCTTTAGTCCTCAATGACAGCAAACTGAGTATCTTTGGGTTGTGGACGAAAGGAGACGTTTAATGACGTCATCTTGAGCTTTCACTATTTTCTGATAATTTATGGACCAAATAACTAATCGATTAATGAGGAAATCGACAGATTAATTGGTGATGAAAATAATTGTGTGTTGCAGCCTACACTGATGTATGGAACAAATGGTATGGCAGTCCATCAAACAGTTTTACTTAAACACCAAAAATGTCAACTTGCTCTTTGCACTAGATTAAATGTCAGTGGATCACCAAAGTCTGACTGACCGACCGAGAAATTGACATTGCAATCCCCAGAGCTCTGCTGCTAGGTGGCTAAAAATCGTATGACTGCATGCATACATTGGGAGCAATTTACAGTGAGCAGAGAGTCTCCTACTTTTGTCCTAATGGCTGATATGTACTCAAAAGGAACAAGGTCAGGAAACAACATCTAATGGGCAGATTGCCATGGCATTTTGAGTGCATTCATGATCAACACAGAATGAACCCTTTCGTCTTTGGACACTTCATAAGCTCTCCTTCGGTGCCTACCAGGCCTAATCTTAAAGACAGATTGCACTGAGAACTGTATTGAGAACATCCATGCTCCCAATGTGATAAATTTCTTTGCTTTTAATGAAAAAAGTTACCTCAAGTTGAGAAATTCTAATAAACCTGATAAAACCATCAACTGATGTCTGTCTACATCATCCCAGAATAGCTAGGCAAAAATTGTTGTGTGGGTGACAAAAAAAAAAGATCTCCTACCTCACTGTACTTCACCACTTTCGCCTTCTCTGGCATGAATATTTGATGAGGTGAGAGATATTTAGCAGGGGGAGAGTCATTTCTGTCTGTGTGTGGGAGTGGAGTGTGCGTGTGTTTGTGACCTGATGTGCGCATATGTTATTTGTGAGTGTTAATCCAGAGCCTGATCTGTCTTGGGTGTTGATGACTGATAAGGGTTTGATACATATTGCTTCCTGAAGACAGCAGCAGCCATGACACCCTAAATCTCAACCAACCCCCCTCTGCGTGATGCAAAAGGCTTCTGTATTATCAGCTGAGTGCTAAAACTTGAGGCTCTGCATCTTTGGCTACCAAGAAGAGCTTGATGGGACAGTGTGTCACAGCTGTCAGATATGTGATGCTTTTGAGGTGTTACAGCAGTGTTGAGCTGAGGTGTGCCTTCAGGGCAGGCAGCTGTACACTGTCAACAGCACTTCGCACCGCTTGTGAACCACAGATGTGAAAGTTCAAGTCTGATTGTTGCACCTTTCGGGCCCATGTGGAACTGTACCTAAATGTGCAAAAATCAACCAAGTTGCTTTAAATAGAATATAGACTTAGTGCAGTTTCATTACAGTTATATTCTTGTAAAAGCACCAGAGGCGTTGGCCTTTGACTTTTGAACTTGTGTACTCTCAGTGGCCATCCAGTCAAAAACAGAACATGTCAATAATTTAAAAATGGCTATTGACTGCAGTGTCTGAATGCTCTCGATTTGTTTTTTACGGCTGGATTGTTAGGTGGAATTAAAGAATTTAAGATGAGATAAGATAACACTGTATTGATTCTAGAGAGGGACATTAGGTGTTACATAGCACAAAAAAACAGACCAGATAAAGATACAAAATAGGTTCAGCAGTCTAAAGAAAAAAAGGAAGTAGAACTACACCTATAATCCAAATTGCAAAGATGTAGACTAAGACTAACACTGAAATCAAGAGAATACAATAAATCAAACAGAGCCATATACA